AACACAATCGCTGAAGACAAAATGGGTGCATAAGCAAATGTGGTGTAGAAAGTTGATGGTGCCAGCTATTAAAAGATATAGCATCTGGGGTCTTAACGGCTTGAAGTTAAACAAGTGGCCATCTAGCAGGGAAGCAACAAAGCCCAGATGGAGGAAGCACACTAAAGCATGTGATCAAGAGGTGTTGACCAGATCAGGTATCAGACATCAGGAGATCCAAAACAAACAATCATATCGATGCGAATGAGGGGGATCAGAATGGAGACCCAAAGCCCATCTGTAGATAATTGGACATTCCCTCACAAAAGGCCCACAAGGAAGGGAATAGACAGTCAGGGTGCAGTACAGCACTGACAAAACACACAACATTCCTCTGGTTCTTTAATGTTTCCTGCCTCCACCATGCCCCCATATTGACCCTTGGTCTGCTTTATAAATCCAGCTAAACCGGAGCATGTACATGGGTACAGATAAGAGCTCTTGACACACAGAATCCAGGACAGATCACCACCACCACCCAGGAACAATAATGGGAGTAGTGATACCATGAGGATAGCGAGAGGGTGTGGGAGAGGGGGAGAAGGGGCAGAGAGGGAGAACCAATTGCAATGATCACTGTAGCTATCCCACCCCCCAACCGCCAGCTGGACAAAGAACAGAAACGTGGGTTAAAGGAGGCAGCAGACAGTGTAATATATGAAAATAATTATATAATTTATCATGGGCTCATGAGGAGGGGAGGGCTGGAGAGGGAGGGGGATACCAAGAAAGAAAGAAAATAGGAAGAAAATGTTTTTAAATGATGATGGCAGCATATGTACAAATGTGCTTGATAAAGTTTGTGTGTGGATTGTTATGAGAGCTGTAAGAACCCCCAATAGAATGATTTATAGAAAAAGAAAAAATATTATCTTCATGTCTTATATTGATATTTAATAATCTTAGAAATAATTAAATATAAATTAGAAGTTAATAATCATTGAAGAATGTAGACTGTCCCTTACTTTCTAACAAAATCAAACAGCACTCCTTGTGCCTGATAATTCTACCGAAAGTTACTAGAAACTTTAGTTTGGGGTATGTGGGATAGGAGAGTTGAGGAGAGAGCGAGCGAGGGAGGGCAGCGGGTGGAGAGAAGGCCATGGCACCATGGGTTGGAACCTGGGGTTTATTGTACAGGCTTGCGTTTTCTGCTGAGTTGGAGCTGACTGGATGGCAGTGAGTTTTTT